TCATTGACACTATTCAAAACAGCCAATTGAATATCTGTACGATGTTCCAGATCCATTACTTACGCATTCGCATAGATAGTCACATTTTCGAACATCGAAAGTGCTATGTAGAAGACTCGGTCTGGTAACAACACATGAATAACGAGAAAAGGTATGAGCGACATACCAGGATCAGCCATGGTCTCAAGTAATGTTCTCTTATTAGATGTCTTACGAGTGGATCAACCTCGCTCCAAGAATCCGAAAGACATAGCTGCCGTCCCGTCCTTGATAAGAGGCTGTCTCCTATAGCGGAAAACAAAGAGTGCAACAGGCCGGGATAGCGAGGCTTCCCGAGACGCGGAGTAGCTATCGTGACAAAATTTAGAGGCTTCATGCAATGGGCAGTAGACAAGGAGCCATCTTGAAGGTAGCCTTTCTGATGCATGATCCTATTTTTATGCAAGTGTCGCCTTGCGCCAGCCGATCGAGACAGAACAGAAACACGCATATCCGACGAGATATCGACACACTAGACCGCCTAAACTATACCCTATCGTAGAGAACTTAGTAACGGCTCTCCCATCTGNCATCACCCTCGCTCCAAGAATCCGAAAGACATAGATGCCGTCCCGTCCTTGATAAGAGGCTGTCTCCTATCGCGGAAAACTAAGAGTGCAACAGGCTGGGATAGCGAGGCATCCCGAGATGCGGAGTAGCTATCGTGACAAAATTCAGAGGCTTCATGCAATGGGCAGTAGACAAGGAGCCATCCTGAAGGTAGCCATTTCTGATGCATGATCCTGTTTATGCAAGTGTCGCCTTACGCCAGCTGATCGAGATAGAACAGAAACGCGCCTATCCGACGAGATATCGACACACTAGACCGCCTAAACTATACCCTATCGTAGAGAATTAGTAACGGCTCTCCCATCTGCCTCTATGTCGCGAATTTTGCCAATCACCTTCGCAGTAGCAAGGGTTAGTAGACCAGTATGATAAAGAGTTGGAAAGAATCGCACCTCTTGCGCAACTCGCTCGCTTCCCCAATCTATTCTATCATAAGTGAGATCATCTGTGATGCTGGAGACGAGAAGTTCGACGCTGGAATCCGTTTGCCATCTCTGTAGGATGTGACGACTTAGTCCCATCAAATGTGCTGGGTTGCCTCATAATCCATGGACAAGGACAACTAGATGCACTTCCAATCCGTGCCGTGTTCACGCCGTGTTCGTATCTACTGACGCGTCGTTTCGGCAGGACCAGTATAACATGTTCAGCGATGCGATAGCAATACGTACAAGCATTGATTTTCAATGCGTAAAAGGACCTGAGTTTAATATACAAAGCGTGAAGATGGTCAATGGTGGTGGTGCAGTTTATGTGGTGGTCGCCGCCCCGCCAAAGCCAAAGACGAGAAATACCTGCACGTGATCTCTTCTGCGACTCTCGGTCGTCCACTTTGAACATCTCCAAAACATAACCATCAATACCAGCCACTAGTACCAGTCCTGACGAGTATGTGTGTCAGTCTCGAACTACTGTAGGTCTCATACCTACTCAATATACCTGAAGTCTATCTCAGCTGGTTGAGACAAATCTCATCTTCCGAGTCCTCTGCGCTTCTAATAATATTCATTGCGGGACAACACTGAACCCATTCTCCCAGAATTTCCCATCACACTCATCCGAGAACTTCTTAGGTGATAAAGAAGCTGAGCCCTCAACTTCCTGGAACTATCTCGTCTCGGCCTCCCGTCCGATGGTTTCTCACAATTGCCAACCTGGGTTGGTTGTCGATTGCTAACCGATACAACATGCCCATTCTATCCTCAATTCTCTGGTGGCAGCTGCTTTTTTGATTGGCTCCGTGCAGAAAGCACTTCAGATTTTGAGTGATTCTGCTTACGACTTCGGCGCCGAGGCATCGTATTTATGCTTTGCACGTTTACTTGTGACTGTAATCAAGAGCTCCCTCCTCCCGCAAAGATGATTTCTTTTGGGAGACTACGTTTTATTGACGTCGTATTACTCGTCTTCGCGTCATGGACCTTCTGCAAATTTCTCCAAGCCATGCGAAGGCGTGTCAAGACAGCTAAGCTGAATGGTCCTCCTTCGTCGAGCTGGTTGTTCGGTGTCACCATGGACGTGTTCTACGGTGACAATGGAGCTCTGTTCGAGAAATGGGCTAAAGAATACGGTCCTGTCTATCAGATACCCGCTGCACTTGGGGAAAAGAGGACAGTACTTACGGATCCAAGAGCTATTGCCCATTTCTACTCGAAGGAAACGTATACATATGTGAACAGCGATTTCACAAAGCAGTTTATTGATAAAATGGTACGACTGCTTGGGTTTGGTGTTTGGTTCTCATGCCCAATGTAAAGATAGATTGGTAAGGGGCTTTTGTGGGCGGAAGGTGACAGCCATCGAAGGTGATTAGTACACATATTTCTTAAATAATAACATGCTAACATATTTACGCAGGCAACGCAGGACTCTCAGTCCGGCATTCACCAATGCTGCGATTCGCAGCTTAACTCCGGTGTTCTTCGATTCTGGCTACAAGGTATTTGTGTTATGCACGTTATAGAATCCGACTCCGTCTCATTTGTCTAGGTCAAAGCTGCCTGGGACTCAATCATAGCATCTTCGGGTTCCGAAGAAGCTGTCATTGACGTCCAGAAATGGTATGTACCCTGATCCTGCCACTGTACACTTTACATTGCTTATTGCTCGATCATGACAACGTTGCAGGATGAACTGTGTATCTCTTGACAGTATCGGCATAGCCGGGTTTGGGCACGACTTCGGAGCACTTTACGGACGACATTCAACGATTGAAGAAGTATTTGATGCATTTGGTACACGCCCGCCTGCAGGTCTAATGGTCCTGACGATATTGCTTGGTCCTGCGCTTCCGATCCTTACTAGACTCCCAGGAAAGCGCGCAAGCCTTATCTCGAAGTTACATAAGACGACGCAAGAAGTCTCCGAGGCGCTTCTCGAGAGGAGTCGTAAAGAGAAGGAACTGGCTGGTATCAGCAGCGATACTTCCAGATCGATCATTGGGAGTCTGCGTCAGTATTCCTTCTTTTTATTCTTTCAACCGCTCACAAATCTTCAGTCAGAGCAGAAAGTTCAACATCTGACCTGAGGCTTACCGAGGAAGAGGTACTTGCACAGGTGAGTCTCTTTTCTACTGCTTCGTGCTCATGCTCAATCTGAATAGATGAGGGTCTTACTTGTGGCGGGGTATGAAACGACCTCGAGTCAGTATCCTATCCCAGCATTTCCATGGACAATTTTAAAAGAATTTAACAGTAAGCCTGACCTGGGCATTAATTGAGCTCTCGCTTCATCCGGAGAAGCAAGGCAAACTACGCGAAGAGCTCTCCGAATTTGCTAACAGGGACCCAACCTATGATCAGCTCATGAACAGCCTTCCGTATCTGGACGCTGTCACTCGAGAAGTCATCCGTCTACATCCTCCAGTCGAGCAGACAGGACGGGTTGTAAGCACTCTTTCCTGCGATTTATTTGTGCCTAGTCTCCATATGACCGTTTGTAGGCTGCCTATGACGACATCGTCCCTCTGAGCGTTCCAATTACAACGGCGACGGGCGAGCGAGTTGACCATATCACCCTCGCCCGAGATACGTCCATCATCATACCTATACGTGCTATCAACCGCTCCGAAGAGATATGGGGACCAGATGCAAAGGAGTTCAAGCCTGAGCGCTGGCTGAACAGCGAATCCGGTTTGGCAGAGAAGGCCAAAGAGATCCACGGATATCATCATATATTATCATTCATCGATGGTCCTCGCACATGCCTCGGCCGTCCATTTGCCATCGCAGAATTCAAGGTGACGCAACTCCTTTGATGTTCTAGGGAAGGGGAAAGGCCTAATTGACGAACCATCAAACAGTCGGTCCTGTCCGTGCTCATTCGCAACTATGTGTTTGGCCTGCGGGATGGCCCGGATACAAAGCTTGATCTGGTTACTTCTATTCTGCCTCGTCCAAAGGTTGTCGGCGAAGAAGGATATGCTATGCCGATGCGCGTCCGCAGGTTCGATCTCTAGTGACAAGACTCAAGCATGCTTGTATACCGTGCAAGAAATTAAACTATATAACATGCTTTTATATTCACAATCGGCTATATTTCTTGATGAAATTTTACATCACTGGTCTGTACCGCCTGTTCTGATGAGCATCTATATACTGTAAATCGATTTATAGTCCGGATACATGAATTGAGGCAATCACTACGATTGAGGTAGGGCCTGCTATCCCAGTGTGAATCAGGAGACTCGGGCAGCAGTGTCTAGTTGTCGTTCTGGTTGATTGGCAGTTACAGGAAATTCCATAACACAGGCCTCCTGTACCTCAAAACGCAAAATAAATCATATCTCTATGAATACTCAACGATTTTGCGTGATCTAAATTTCTAAATTCATCCTTTGATCTCTGCTTTCATATTCCATTTTGAATGAGATAAATTGGTGCACAAATGGTCCCGGAACGTCTCAAAGGTCGATTTTGAGCACCTTTCTCTCTTCTATTTTTTTCCGGACCTCAAAACAAAACTTGCTGTATAGCTCCTGATGGTGACCTCTACCTCGACGACTGTCTGTCTTAAACATAGTTTGAATCATCTTCTCTGCCTTTAAAGATTTGATCTGTTAAGTATTCTCTCCGGTATCGCATTTATTCATGTATGCGTGGTGATGTGATTAATATTGTCGGTGTTCGGCCCTGAGAACATAGCTATATTTGGTAATAGATTTTCATATTCAAACTTCGAAAATTTCGTGGATCGTTTCTCGTCGTGAACCACCATCATCTCCTCACATAATGGATAAGCGTAGGATAGGCATACTAGGTAAGAGTGCGTCTTAATTCGATAGACAATCTTGGTTTCGACGAATTCTAAACTAATCATATCCAGTTCGCATGTCGTAACTCTGTAACCTTCCTCTCCTCATCGTATGCACAGGCGGAGGCCAGCTTGGCCGTATGCTCGCTGCGTCTGCCTCGCTGCTGAACATAGATGTCGTGATCCTGGATGTTGGAGACCACACTCCAGCCAAGCAGATCGTCTCATCACCCCCTCATCTCGGGCACATCGACGGCTCATTTGCGGATCCGGAGAAAATCAAGGAGCTTGCAGCAAAGGTTGATGTATTGACGGTCGAAATCGAACATGTCGATGTTTCTGTGCTAGATGAGATTGCTGAGTCCTCAAAGATCGCGGTACACCCGAGCCCTGCGACGATCCGTACAATCCAAGACAAGCTCGCCCAAAAGGACCATCTGTCTGAATATAACCTGCCAGTCACCGACTATATGCGTGTTGAGTCGACTCCAGAGTCAATACAAAATGCTGCCGCACAGCTTGGGTTACCATTGATGTTGAAGAGTCGTACTCTTGCATACGACGGACGTGGAAATTATGTTCTGACGGATTTGGGCGAAGCAGAAGAAGCCATTGCTGCTCTCGGTGGAAGACCTCTGTATGCCGAACGCTTGGTGCGATTGGCAAAGGAAATAGCAGTTATGGTTGTTCGTACGAGCTCGGGAGAGATACGAGCATACCCTGCCGTAGAGACAGTGCACAAGGATAACATTTGCCACATCGTCTTTGCTCCTCTTCGTCATTCAAATCCGGCTGTCGCGACCCGCGCCCGCACACTAGCGGAAGATACAGCAAAAACGTTTGCTGGTGCCGGTGTTTTTGGTGTTGAAATGTTCTTATTGGAAGACGGTTCGCAGAAATCTCATCTTCAGGTGTGTTCGGCTAACACAGATATTTCAGATACTCTTCTCCTCAACGAGATCGCACCTCGACCGCACAACTCAGGGCATTACACCATTGAAGCATGTTATACTTCCCAATATGACAACCATTTGCGCGCCATACTTGGACTCCCTCTGGGGTCAACGGAACTAAAAGTGCAGAGTGCAGCGATGCTCAATCTCCTTGGCTATTCAAATTCTATGGAAGAGATCACACGGGTTGCGCGTGCAGCCATTGAAGTTCCCGGTGCATCTGTGCACCTTTATGGGAAACGTGAGTGTCGCAAAGGAAGGAAAATGGGTCATGTCACACTCGTCGGGGACTCTGATGATGCGGTGCGTGCGAGCTTACGCCAACTGTTACAAGCGCTCCCAGACGCGACACTAGAGTCACTTGATAAATATGCACCTTTGCTCCCTCCTGCTGGAATTGGTCGACCGTCCTCCCAACCGCTCATAGGCATCATAATGGGCTCGGATAGTGATCTGCCCGTAATGATTGCGGCGGCAAGAGTGCTTGACTCATTCCGAGTACCTTACGAACTCACAATTGTCTCCGCACATCGCACGCCGACGCGCATGACGGAGTATGCTCACAGTGCTGCTTCGCGGGGATTGCGAGTTATTATTGCCGGGGCTGGCGGCGCTGCGCACCTCCCTGGTATGGTCGCGGCTATGACGCCACTACCCGTTATCGGTGTTCCTGTGAAAGGCAGTTCTCTAGACGGCGTCGATTCGCTGCATAGTATTGTGCAGATGCCGAGGGGTATACCCGTTGCCACTGTCGCCATCAACAACAGTACGAACGCGGCCCTCCTCGCAGTCCGAATCTTAAGCGCGAGCGTTACTTCTCTTCTCGATGCCATGGATCTTTTCATGAAGAAGCAGGAACAGGAGGTTTATGCCAAAGTTTCCAGATTAGAGCGAGTTGGATGGGAGAACTACGGGAAAAGCTAGCCAACGGGAGTTTGATCAGCAGCTCCCAGGATGTAGAATTATAGCGATGCGGTAAACTACAGATCGCGCGGCTTGTAAGTAGACTGAATACAACAAGGGTATCGCTAGAAAACGCTGGAAAATACAAACAAAGAAAGTCTCGTGAAAAGATCATCCAAACTCGATCTAGATAGTCCGGCTAAGTCGCTGGTCGCCTCAAGTTCTTGCTAAATTCCCTGTAGTCAGCTACCTTCTGCTCCATAACGTCCCGGACGATGGCACACAAGCAATGGCCTTGCCATGCGCCATTAACCATAGTAAAGTAGAAATAGCGCCCGTCGTATACGTCGTCATCCGGAGCGGAGAGGAAGACCTCTCGGATACAGGCGTCCATGTGCTTATAGAAACTGAATCCGAATTAGAATACCTGAGAATGGATGGTGTCTGGCATCTACGTACGATTTCTCAGCATTCGGTGTCCAAGTCTCTTGCTTCTTACTCAGGAAAGCAAGGACTGATGAACGCGCGTGGACGAGTTCCTCAGAAGCGAGGTACTGGTCTTTGCAGTCGACAAATTGCCGCTCTTTCGCTCTGAGTAGCGGCCGTAGAAGGAGAGGTACACGGCCAGTAAGCTCCTCAATGAACTTCCGCTCATCAGGACGAACCGAAGGTATTGACTTGATATTATGCTTCCACCACCAGCTCATCTCTTCCTATTGATTCATTTATTAATTCACAGTACTGTATGAAGAGATAAGTGCGAACCTCGTCAAACCCGCCCTGCATAGGGAAGTCCTTGATGTTACTTCGTTCACCTGGTCTCGGTCGATAAAACTTGGACCCGGCGGAAGCGCTGAACACGACAAAATTGCGGGCGCACAGCTCGTCCAACCATTCACGTACTTGGCCTTTTCTGTCCCTGTCCGGATCGTACGGCAGGACGTCGAGAGCCTCGCGCTGGTCTAGGACAAAGAAGATGGAGCCGGTCTTGCGCCATGCCCGACAAAAGTCGCGTACTTGGTCGACGCTAGTCCACGCATCCATCGTGCTAGCATATTCGGGGAACGCAAACTGGAGCGCCGAACGCATCTCAATAAAGAAGCTCTCGAGGAGGAGCACGCAGTCCGGTACGTAAACGACGCGTTTGCCTTCGTGAAGGAGCAAACAGGCGAGGGCTGCGAGCACATGCGATTTACCCGTGCCGACACACCCGTACACACATGCCTTGGCGTATGAACGGAAGGGATCTTTCTCGAACTCGGCGACGCAGTCGTAAAGTCGCCGGAACATGTGCCGACCCATGAACGCGAAAACGAGAACTTTAGACTGGCGCTGCAGATTGAACCGTCCAGGCTGGCCTGAGGTCGTATGCGGGAAGGGGAGCCAGTTCCAGTGCCGAGGGTCAGAGTAACGCGCCGGGGGATCATCTGGGTTCTTGTTCGAGATGAACCCGCGACGAATGGCCCGTTCCTCAGCTGACAGAGCGTACCGTCAGTAGACTGCAAGGAAAAGCGAGTTTATTCGCGTACCTTCCAACTCCTGCATGGTTAAAGAGTTGCAATAAACGAGAAGAGACTAGTTCCCCAGCGTCCGCTAACAACTGGTGAACGTGAACCTCGACAACTTGATTACAGAATTTTGATATTTACAAATGGTCCTGATTAGACAGTGTTGGTGAGCATATAACTACTCGAGAAATAAGAATGTGTCTACATACCGAGCTATAATGACAATGGTCGTGGTTGAGCTCTGCCATGGGTGCGCGCACTCTCAAGTTGAAGTTGAACGTATGCGCTAGTCACGTGAGGTACCATTTTCTCAGCAGATCTATCTAGAGAAATTTATTTACGCGACTTCCGAGTCGCCCTGGACTGGGCACCGCTACACACAAACACTCGCTGCGCTTCTGCTGTGGACAGACAGTTCAATAAATAGAAAAATGGCACCAAGCGGACCGCGTCTGGCTACCGGTCGTGACATTCACAACTTTTTTCGTTCCAGCAGACAGGACGTACCGATTGACCGTGAGCGGACATTCTTTGACAATCATCTGTCGCGTTGCTGATGTCTCTGCAGCCTTAAAGGCACTGAGAGATCAAATCTCCTTAAATTTTGAAGAGTCATCATTGTCTCTGCAAGACGCGCGTTTGGTACTCGTGACGGAATGGCTGGAGCTTTCGTCTGGGGCAGAGGACATCTTTGCACTACTTGAGAAACGGCAGCAGGTATGTCCCTCAGAATGTATCTCTCTCTGCGCTCGGTTCTCACCGCGCGTCATTGTAGCCGACAGTGGAGGCGGTTTGCTTGTCGATTTTGGCCTCTCTCTTGACCCTTACGACACAATATTTTGTATATCAATCTCTTGGTCATCCAATTGTCAAGAATTTGCTTACTCCTCGTTGGCTTCGAAAGCTAAATTCACATCTCTCCGGTGGACATCTAGAACTGTGCTTCGCATCATTGAAACTGTTGAATGCTGTGTCAAATTTTGCGGGCGGAAAGGAACAAAAGTGTCTGTTGGAGACGTTTCCGTGGGACGTGAAGGTGAGCCTCAGGATCCGGTGTTCAAGGACCTACTTAACATTTCATAGATCTTTCAGAAACTTCTTCATATGCGCAGAAGAGATAAGGCTGCGAGTCAAAACGTGCTCGCCAAGCCGGACATTCGTACCCTTTGCTTGCAATTCATCTGTTCCTTCTTGTCTTCGTCCTCGCACATAAAAGCCATGTTTTTGGAGCAATATCGAGATATATTTATATCTATATTCAAAGGACTCGAAAATGACGCGTATCCTGTCGTGCACTATATTCTCGAAATTCTTTGGACGAATATCTGGCAAGACCAGAAACTCCGGAAGACATTGAAAGTCACCTTGTTCGGAGAAAAAGTTATGCAGCACGTAAGTTCGACCGTTTCAATTCTTCAGACTTTCTGCTTACAGCTTGCCTCAGTTACTTAAGCTTTACGATTGCTCTTCTCAAGAGGACACAAGCTCGAAGAATGTCCCAGCCGACGTTGTTCATCACTTTTTACTCGCAACATGCACGCACAGAGGAGTAGGGATATGTTTTGCCGATAATGGGTGGTACCCTCGGCCAGATGATGAACGTGAAAGTTCCGCTAGAGGAGAGAGGATACATAACAAGATCTTGGCAAACGTTCTCAAGATGCTCAAAGTCGGCGATGATGCACGCCAGCAGGAATTGGCCCTGAAAATTCTGAGTGCCTGTCCGGAGCTTGCTGCTGGGTACTTGCAGTTCCTGAGCCCGACATTGGAGCCTCGCCTTTCATCCAAATGGCTCGCAAGTATGGCCTTTTATGGTGCCATAGTGTCTTTACCGGTTCCCACTGAAAGTTTCCATCTGCCTACGAGGCTGAGCAAGACACAATCGACTTACCAACCTGTGCCGCCTTCTCTCCCCGTCGTCTTAAACAACATCTTTCCGTCAACCATTCTCAAGACGCATCTAACAAAAGCCCTCCAATCATCTCACGCGCTGTTGCAACATACCGCGGGACTTCTGCTCGCCCAATGCCTTGGCAAATACGAATCGGTGCAAGATGCGTTTCGTGTTGTCAAGTTGGCCCTAGAAGAGGATGAGGTGGAAGGTCAATGGGCTCGGCGTCTCATTGAGATTGACCGTGAGATTCGGAAACGAGTGCCCGAGATAAACGTGGTGATCGCGTTTTCGACCGCTCAACAAGCTATTTCAGAACCCACCGTCAGGTCCGCTATGCTAGCAGAGCTTTCGCAGAGGATTCTGTTGCTTTATCACCGCTGTATGCCATCGCTTATAGCGGAGGTGAGATACGATGTGGCTAAGTCTTTACGGACTATCGCTTGTTTTGACGACAATAGCGTACCTGACGTTGAGGAAATTCGGGGACTGAAGAGATTGCAGCAGCTACATGTCCTTTGCATGTTGACGGAAAGCGACCAGTTCATTTGGCACGCAAAAGCAGGTGAATACGAAACAAGTCCTACGCAGCATTCAGGTCTGATACATTTATTGCAGTTACTTCGGGTCCATCGAATCTATATATCCTACTCGATATTTACTTAAAAACGAACCATGTGCCAGTTCGCCAAGCCGTCTCAACACTTCTCGTCCAGGCATTGCGGGACAGTCTTCTATTTCAGCATGATCCAGAGGAATTGCACATATGGCTGGATGCATTGCCCGCAACAGTACGAAATGCCGACGCATATACATTCGACGGTGTGCGTCTTAGCGATGAGCGGCAGTGTACCATGTCCTTCCTTGAGGCGTGCATGCTGCGCTGTTTTAAGACGCCGCACCGCTACCTTGAGGAGCTGGACTCCCTCACAACATCGTCAAGTGACTCGAGCTCATCGTCGAGCATTAGCCCTGTGCTTGTCACCGTTCTGCAGCAGCTACACGCGAGAATGCAGTCCAAAACACTAGAAGCGTCTGACGCGCTCTCCTTGACAACATTCACAAGGAAGGTAATCGTCGGGCTGGTCGGTAAACAACCTCACGTGAGAGTCCTTCACGACATTACAAGGAACCTCAGGATGGCTGTGACAGGCGGCGGAGCATTTGCGGAATTTCCAAGTATTGCAGCAGCACTGCGTGGCGAATGCAACATCTTGGACAATTGTCTTGCATGGTGCTCATTGATGCCGCAGCCTACATCTCAAACCACTGACACGAATGCTCCATCGGCTGAGCTCGATCTCATTGCACGAGCCGGTCAACTTGAGAATGGTGAGACCACTCGCATCTTTTTATTACCTTGACGTCTGATTGTTTGAGAAGCGGAAGGAGAGATAGCGGTGTCTCTGGCCTACGAATTAGTAGATCGCACACGCTTTCTTGATCATCCTCTTTCTCCGGCCGTTGTTAATCGCATAGCATGCGTGATCAAGCGCCTCTATGCTCCGGCCTTATCGAGCTTCTGTCTCCATCTAGCTCCGGGATCTGGGTCCTTGTGGGCTCTTACTGATGAAGACATTTCGAGCCGGTAAGTGCCTGTATGCACAGAGCTTGACTAAAAC